CGCACCGCGGGTAGAGTTGGCTGACTGGGTGAAAATCATGGCCCGCCGTTGCGAGGCACACGTTGCTCGTGACTGGGTCTTCGGATTTTCTGCCTGGAATTTACATTTCCGTTCAGCCCTCAATTTAAGCCGTAATGTGGCTTTATTTGACGTTCCGGTCTATGACGATAGTACAGATACATGGCGTCGGCTAAAAGGAGAGGATATCGAAGCAGGTGCACAGGAGTTGCTGAAAGCGCTGCGAGGCCAGTACATTGACCGACGAGGCAGGCCAAAGGCTGTAAATATGGACATAAGTAAGCTGCAGTATGTGCGTGGCCTGCGCCCAGCCGCGCGGAAGCTAGTCAAGAACATGCGACACACAGCGCAGGAATTGCCGGGAACACAAGAAGCCCGCAAGCGGATGCGTTTCGAAATCGAAGGCATGCGGATACGCTTCGGCGTGCCGCTCTTTGTCACCTTTTCGCCCGACGAAGCACACCAACTGCTGTACGTCCGCATGGCGCGAACTCGCTGCAGCGATCCGGTGCGCGCGGCGGCCTGGGACCAAGACTGGAACGTGGGGGACCGAGACTACCCACCTGTGGACAATGACACGACTTGGCCTCTTCATGTCGAGACCTTCCGTCGGCTTGTGCCAGGCTGGGATCTCCGACGTCAAGCTTTGGCGCGGGATCCGCTGGCCAGCGTGGACGGGTTCCGTACGCTTGCAACGTTAGTTTTGGAGCATCTGTTTGGGGTAAAGACGTGCCCGGCGTGTCCCGATTGCAACCATAGAGACACTGGCGCAGAGCCGCGCCAAGACGACATGGGAAGTAATGCAACTGTGGTTGGCGGCGTCTTTGGACGCATGGACGCAGCTTACATTACGATTGAAGCGCAGAAGTCGTCCGGGTCATTGCATGGGCACTGCCAGTGCTTTGTCCAATGCTTGCATCAGCATACACAACTGCAAGAAATCTTCCAACTTAGCTGCGAGCGGCTGGCCGCATTACGGGCAGCGTACTTAGAGTACAATGCCCACGTCATGCATGGCACGTACGCAGGCCAAGATACGGAGGCCATAGCCCAGGGCATTGCCGATGCAGAGGCCGCATGGCCTGAACACAAAGACGCGGTGGCTATGATCCAGAGCCCACCCTACCAGCAGCGTCGCGCATGGCAAGCGCAACAAGCGGCAGAAGAGGAGGGCAGAGCCTGGGCACAGCAGTATTTGGCAGAGGATGTGAGCACCCTCCAGTTCTTAAAGCAACATCATTATCACCCGCCCAGTGGAGAGACAGGTGACCGCGTGCCCTTGCATGGCTGCCAGAAAGCAGATCGTCCCGGGGTCTGCAAAAGCGACTTCCCCCGCGAAGCTTGGGTCACGCCGGTCGCAAAAATACTTTGTCCATGCCAAGCAGAAGCGCACGGTATGGCCACGCAAGGGCGCAAGAACCGCATTGGGGCATTGCGCGGTCCGTATGGCAACGAGTGGCTGAATTGCTGTCACCCAGCAATGCTAGCCAGTCTACGCGGAGCAAATGTGGACGCGCAAGTCCCGTACCGGCTCCCGTTCGATTGCCAGCGCTGTGGGTCTGACCTGTCTGCAGCGCAACGGCGAGAGATAGTTCGCGCAGCACAACGGGCACAGGATGCGCAGACGGGATACTGCGCGGACTACTGCGCGAAGAGCCAACCCATGGCATTTCATGAAATCAAAGAAATGCAGAAGGGCCAGCAAAGGCTCCAGCAAAGCATGCAAAAAGAACCGGTCGAAAAAATCGGACAGAGAACCGCGACGCGGTTCCTGAGTGATGCGTACTGCAAAGGCATCGTGCGCGGGCAGGTAGAAATTTGCAACCTGCGTGCGTATCAGAAGGGCAGCTGCGTCGTGGCTGCGGAGCGCATCAGCACAGCAGCCTTCTGCAGCTTCCCTGGTCGAGCTTTGTTGCAGGCGGTCAATGTCGCCGTCGGCGAAGAGGCAGTGGGGCACTCGGGCAGCAGATACGTGTGGGGCAAAACAGGGCCCGGCGGCCGCCAAAGCTTACGGGAAGTGAACCCTGCGCACGCGTATGGCCACAGACCGTCGCGCCCGGACATATGGTGTTTGTCTCCGTACGAATTTACGACAACGTGGGAGCTGGAGCCACTGCGGATTCCACGGACACGTAGTGAGTGGCAACAGCTGCGCGGCACGCACTCGGATGTGACTTTGACAGCCAGGGGCGCCGCAAAATTCGGCACGGCCGAGGCAGACAACTGCAAGGTGCGGCTGCTGCCAGGCGTCGACTTCAGAAGAGCACAGGGCGCAGAAAGCCGGAACAAGGCGTATTATCCGTCAAGCGCCGGAAACGCGCTGTGCCACGCCTGGTGTTTGCGTCGCAAAGCCCGACCACAGTGCCCCCAGATGGCCAGCGCGCCGGTGCCGAATAGAACGGGCGAAGACACGGAGAGCAATGCGAAGATGACGATGACGTATTTTCGGGCATGGACACTGGACAAAAAACGTAGTGGAGACAAAGTGCGGTACATCAAGCACTTGCGTGAGCCAGGAACGACATGGGACAGAAGCTTGCGCAGGTGGTTGCTACAGCTGCCATGTGCCGAGACAAAGCAATACGTGGGGAACTTCTTGAGCGTGTACCGCGTTCGGCCGGACACCGAGCTGGACAATAGCGACAACGAGGACGACAATGAAGATCTGGTTGTGACGGAAGAGTTGTTAGGCGTAGCCTGCCAAACACATGTGGCAGTGGAAGAAGACAACCACAAAGAAAGCAAGTGGTCCACACATCGACGTTTGCTCGTGGACGCGTTACAGCGCGCCGAACAGCACTGGGGTGGCCGCGGCGTATCGAAGAGTGTGCCGGGAGAAGTGGGAAACCCATATGCGACAATGGACACGAAGGGCATCGTGAAAGGTTTGCATCGCGCGGCGGAGGCCCCCGCAGGGAACGCAACGCAGACGAAACTAGAGCCGAGCGTGACGCGACGGCCCGGCCGGTTGCAGGAAACCCTGGCGGCTATCGACCGGTGGAGCAGCACGGTCGCCGACGGCAAATGCAACCGCAAACAGGCCGAACTCTGTCAGCGCGTCGCGCAACAGGTCAGAGCAGAGCTGCTGGCAGAAGACGGCGCCAGTCCGCAGCCACTGCGCTGGGTCGTGCACGGGGGTCCCGGCACGGGTAAATCGCACACGTTGAAATTGATCCGTCGCGAGCTCTTTGAAGGTATCGCCGGGTGGACGCATGGCTCGCAATACCACGTCGTCACGCTGCAGGCGGTGATGGCCAAGGAACTGGACGGCGATACCATTCATCACGCGATGGGCCTAAATTGGCAAGGCGCGTCCGACGACAAGATCAGCGGAAGCAAGTTCCTCGACCTGAGTGCGAAGGCCGTGCAATGGCGGTGGCTGATCATTGATGAAATCAGCATGGTAAGCGCTGAGCTGCTGGCAAGAATGGATTTACGATGCCGAGAGCTAGTGCGCGATCTAGCGCAGAGCAAGTACGCCCCGGGCAGCGCGCACGCGCAGCCCTTCGGAGGGTTGAACGTACTAGTGGCAGGGGATTTATGGCAATTGCCACCACCGCGCGGAACTTTTTTGGGGGAAGTGCCTTGGGAAATGTTGACCAAGGGGACCAGCAAAAAAGTCGCCCACACCGTGCATGGGCAGAAGCTGGTGTGGGGCTCGCAGGCGGAGAACAGCATCATCCACGGCATCACAGAACTAGAGCAGTGTGAGCGCACGCGAGACACATGGCTGCAGACGCTGCAGCAGCAGATTCGGGAAGGTGCTTTGAGCGCCGACAATCACGCATTTCTGCATGGGCACGACACAGGTGTCCCGGGAAGTTGGTCCGGGGAAAAACTGGACTGCGAAAACGCAGCGTGCCAGCAACTGCTGCAGAGGAAGGTCGTCCCGGCTCGCATTCGCACACTGGAGTGCAAGCAATGCCAGCACGAACGCGCCTCGAAAAAGCGGGTGTTGGATGGAAACATGAGGGGTGACGAGCAAAGGAAGCTGGAGCAAGCAAAGGCTGTTTTTGCGACGAATGCGGTGAAGTACCACGTCAACAAGCTGCGTGCACTAGACTGGGCACGCCAGCACCGGCAAGAGGTCAAATATGCCATTGCAAAAGACACAATTTTCAGCCGAGCGTTGCAAGAAAAACCGGACTTGGGCAAAGACAAGTTGACATGGCTGCAACGTCACGATCAGGACTGCGGCGGGCTGTACGGGGTTTTGCCCTTGTGCATCGGCATGCCTGTCACGGCAACCGATCACTTGGATCGCCGCAGAGGCATACTGAAGGGATGTCCTGGCACAGTTGTTGGATGGAGCTGGCATGAAGCAGCGGGCACAGAAGCAGGGAGTACGACACATATTTGGAATCAGCTCCCAACTTGTGTCTTTGTCCGGTTCCAGACCAAGTCCCAGTGGCGAGTGCACAAGTTATCCACGGACAACGTGTTTCCGGTGACGCTCCAACGGCAAGCGTGGCATCTGGACAAGGGCCGAAAGCGGCCCATGCTGCGGGTGGTGCGACGGCAATTTCCGTTGGCTCCCGGGTTTGCCACGACTGCGCACGCGGCGCAGGGCCAAACTTACGCAGAAGGGGCGGTCACGGACATGCAGATCGGCGAAGGCGGAGACCCTCTGACCGCATACATCGCTGTGACGCGAGTGAAAGATAGACACGGGTTACACATATACAGACCCTTCGATGCTGCACCCTATCAGAAAGGACGCAGCGTAGGGAGAGCTTTGCTGTTGCAGGCCTGGCGCGGAGAGAGCATTGACTGGGCAACGTTGCGCATGCGGCACCGCGAGGAGGAAGTGTGTCGCGAAGTGCCACGAAAGCAAACCCAGAAGCGGGTACAGCGCCGGGCAATGGAAACGGGACGCGGACGCACGTGTGTGCAGAGAATGCGTGCGTAACTACGCAGCCAACAACACGCCCTGGCAATGCAACAGTTGCAAGGCATGGAAGCACGAAGACGCCTTTGCAAGAATGTACGCGCGCCCCCAATGCACGTTCTACCGCGTGTGCCAGACGTGCGAGGCACAGAAGCGGTGCTACAAGTGCGGCGCGGCCAAGCCGGAAAGTGCATTCGGGGCGGCCGCGTGGAAAGGGCGCCATGCAGACCGACGTGTCTGCAGGGACTGCGCCATGAAAGTCAAGGGTGCGTGGCGCTGCGCCGTGTGCACGGAACGTAAGGCGCGCAATGGCTTCAGCGCCTGGTCCAGGCAGCGCGCTGCACCGCAAGACGGAACGCAGCGTTGCAACGCTTGTGTCCTCAGCGCGGCCAAGCGCGCAGCAGCGCAGCGCGCAAACAACAGACGTGCGCGGCGCAGAGGACGGCCTGCCCGGGCGGATGCACGGGTCTACAGCTGCCACGGGCAGCGGTTGCCACGAAGTGTCGCGCATAGAGCCATACGGCGCCTGGCTGCGACGCGGACGAAAGTAGCCGAAGAAAAGAGACAGCAAGTCATAGGTCTTGTACGGGAAGAGATCGCTGACCATGTGCGACAGAAGCAAGCCGAGGATGAGGTGCTCTTTCCCCGGGCGCAGGAGCCGAACCGGAGCAAAGAAAGCCAGACGGCTCAAAGCAAGACGGAACCGGAGGCACAAAGGCTCTCCACAGACAGCATGCCGTCGCGCAAACGCCGCATGGAACCACGACAAGACAAGCGCGCACAGCCGACGCCCACCAAGACCCAGCCCCGCACTCAGACAATGCAAGTAGCACAGGCAGAGCCTGCAGCGAAGTGTGCAGAAGACGTGTCGGTGAGCAGCCAAGCCAGGACAGCGCCTCCGCCACAACGAAAGTCGCAGGCAAAGCCGCAACAAGCGACGCAAGCCACCCCGACCGTCGCGCAGACGACAAACGCACCGCCGGCAAAGTTGGCTGGACAGACGGCCGCCGCGGAAACGTTCCAATATGCGTGTCCGTTTTGTGAGGTGTCTGTGACCAGCACTGTGCGCACAGGCCAAGTAGATCACCGCCGTGTGTGCGGGAAGTTGTTTCGTGTCAAAGACGGACACGTTGCCGCCAAGAACTTAGTCTATGCGTGTCCATTTTGCAATGGAACTGTGGCGAGTAACGTGAGGACAGGGCGGGTAGATCACCGAACCGTGCGCGGCAACCGATTCCATGTGAAAGAAGGCACGGTTAGCACACAGACGCGGCAGCATGAGGTGCTCGCTCCCCGGGCGCAGGAGCCGAATCGGAGAAAAGAACGCCAGATGGCGCAAAGCAAGACGGAACCGGAGGCACAAAGGCTCTCCACAGACAGCCTGCCGTCGCGCAAACGCCACATGGAACCACAACAAGACAAGCAAGCACAGCCGACGCCCACCAAGACCCAGCCCTGCACACAGACAACGCAAGTAGCACAGGCAGAGCCTGCAGCGAAGCGTGCAAAACACGTGTCGGTGAGCAGCCAAGCCAGGACAGCGCCGCCGCCACTACGAAACTCGCATGCAAAGCCGCAACAAGAGACGCAAGCCACCCCGACAGCCGCGCAGACGACACTCGCACCGCCGGCAAAGTTGGCTGGACAGACGGCCGCCGAGGAAATCTTCCATTATGCGTGTCCTTTTTGTGAGGTGTCTGTCACCAGCACTGTGCGCACAGGCCAAGTAAATCACCGCCGTGTGTGCGGGAAGTTTTTTCGTGTCAAAGACGGACACGTTGCCGCGAAGAACTTAGTCTATGCGTGTCCATTTTGCAATGGAACTGTGGCAAGTAACGTGAGGACAGGGCAGATAGATCACCGAACCGTGTGCGGCAACCAGTTCTGTGTGAAAGAAGGCACGGTTAGCACGCAGACGCGGCAGCATCCGCACACATGCCCAGCGTGCCAGACTGTGGTCTGGTCATCACAGTTGTTTGAGCGCGTTCGGTGCCAACACAACACGCCAGCGGGAAAACCATGCCCGAAAAACACGTGGCAAGTTCAAGAGCGCAAGCACGAAACAAAGAAATAGAGTATAGACCAATCATCCGGAAGCCACGCAACCACCGGGCAAACGGGAGCCGCGCCAGGCTGTGTTGCAGGACTAGGCCAAAGGTGCCGGGAAGGGTTTGAAGGTGCCTGGAGGACCCCAAAGAAACGAGGTGCAGGCCGAGGTGGCAGGTTCCAGAGGTCAGTTCTAAGGCTGCAGTGTACGGTTCCAGAGGGTTTCGCGCTGGGGAGGGTTTGAACGCTGCGGAGGGCAGGCCTGCTGCCGAGAAGAGGGCAACGCTGCGGTGCAGGAGTAGGCCAAAGGCGCTGCCGAGGGTTTGAAGGCGCTGCAGAGGGTTTGAAGGCGCTGGGGAGGGTTTGAAGGCAGTCCAAAATGTCTAACGTCGCTTTTGGAAGCCCATAAGAAGAGAAGAGGCAAGCCTGCTGCCGAGAAGAGGGCAAGGCTGCGGTGCAGGAGTAGGCCCAAAGGCGCTGCGGAGGGTTTGAAGGCGCTGCGGAGGGTTTGAAGCCGCAGAAGAGGGTTTGAAGGCGGTGCAAAATGCCTAACGTCGCTTTTGGACGCCCATAAGAAGAGAAGAGGCAGGCCTGCGATGCAGGAGTCGGCCAAAGGCGCTGGGGCTGCAGTGCACGGGCTGCACGTTCCAGAGGCTCTCTCCCCAGGCTCCCGGCTGGCGCAGGCAAGGCTGCGATGCAGGAGTAGGCCAAAGGCGCTGGGAAGGGTTTGAAGCCGCGGGGGAGGGTTTGCAGGCGGCGCAAAATGCCTAACGTCGCTTTTGGAAGCCCATAAGAAGAGAAGAGGCAGGTCTGCGATGCAGGAGTAGGCCAAAGGCGCTGGGGGGCTCCCGGCTGACGCAGGCAAGGCTGCGATGCAGGAGTAGGCCAAAGGCGCTGGGAAGGGTTTGAAGTCGCGGGGGAGGGTTTGAAGGCGGTGCAAAATGCGTAACGTCGCTTTTGGAAGCCCATAAGAAGAGAAGAGGCAGGCCTGCGATGCAGGAGTAGGCCAAAGGCGCTGGGAAGGGTTTGAAGCCGCGGGCGGGGGTTTGAAGGCGGTCCAAAATGCCTAACGTCGCCTTCGGAAGCCCATAAGAAGAGAGGAGGCAGGCTTCGGACAGGCCACAGAGAGGCCGCAACAGGCCTGCCAGCTGCCGAGAGAGGAGGCAGGCCTTGGACAGGCCACAGAGAGGCCGCAGCAGGCCTGCCAGCTGGCGAGGCCTCGGACAGGCCTTTGGAAGTGCTTGGAAGGGTTCTGCTAGGCTTGGCCAACTGCTTCACCCTGCGGTGTCCCAGGCGCCTCCCCGCCTAGGCTTTGGCTATAGGCCGGGGTCGGCGGATACTACTTTACTAGTAACAATAAAGCTTTCGAAAGTATCGACTTTTCCGGCATTGTGGAGTCGAGAAGCTGTGATGGACGGATACTGCGGCCTAGACACCGTGTCCAAGGTGTCAGGTGTCAGTCTCACACCGGGAGACCTCGCAAGTAGCAAGCCTTTGGTCCACTGTTGGGTCCACTTCACCCTTTTGCTAGAGGACTTGGGGCGGGTTGTCCAACCCATGTCCAGACCTGGTAAGTGATGGAAGAATTCTGGAAGTATGATCCGTGGTCCGACCAGTTGTTGATTTGTACCATACTTCACCCCAAGATGCTTTGACTGGTTTGCCTAGTCAGCAACAAGGAGGCTTCAGTTTGCTAAGAGTGATGTGATGTGTGATAAACCACCGGGTGTGAATCCTCCGGCATCGACACAGCACCGCGGACGGATGGCGCCAGGTCTCAAATCGTTCAGGAAAGACAACGCGCCGCAGACGGATGTCGTGCCTTGTCCCACGGAGTCCCAGGGTGGATAACCTGAAAACACCTGGGGAGACCGACCTATACCATGTGTGATCACCTGGTGTATAGTCTATATGTTGGCCTCTTATGTTGGTGTATAGCCTCTTTTGCACAGGGCTTCTGCTGATCATTTGTTGGACAAACGAGTCGTTTCGGGTTGTGATTGGCTCACAGATGTGGGCATGGCCCTGAGTCATCGGATGACCGGAACGGTGGTGCTGTCCACGTAACCTATGGGGACTGTTCAGGGATCCTATGGGGACTGTTGGTGCTGACGAGCATGACCGGAGTGGGGGAGAACAGAACGCTGCGAAAGCTTGCTTTGGTGGAAGTTATTAGAGGGCCTGCTGGGGGTGTATCCTACTCTTGCTGATCAGCTTGGTTAGATATCCAATTGTGGGCGCCTCAGAGAAAGCAAGCAGCAAGTTTGCTGCCTTTTGGGGGGAATCCTCTATTCCCTAGGGCTCCAACCATATCCTCAGAAGGTAGTTAGACCCGCCAAACTCACCCCAACCACCTTCTCAACAAGTAGTTGGAGCCCTAGGGATTTGATACCCGCCCTCCCCCACCAAACTCTCTCCATCCAAACCGCTCCACAGGTCACGTGCCAAGAGTTCTGCGCGGCGTGCTCCACCAACGAGCCCGTGCAGCTGGACACCTTGGTGAAGATCTTCGACAAGGCGACCTCGCCACGACGGAACGAACGGATGTTGAAGAATGGAAACAAAACTATCCAATCTACATCAATCATCATGCAATCTATAAGAAGAAACATCCAACTGTTGTCCCTATAGTATCCTATAAATTATATCCTCATAGTCTTTCCCCCCAAAACCACCAAAACCTCCACCACGTTCTACCGCTGACCCTTCGTACCGCTCCACCATCTCCCCCGACCTCCCGACCTCGACCGATCGACCTCGCAGGACCGGAAACTCGGTTGCCTGGAGAACTTCTTCCTCGACAAGACGCTCGGCGAGGCGCCCGGAGTCCGTGCCGTGGCGTCGGCGACCCGGTCGGTACGACGTTTGCGGTGCCGGTGCCGTAGAATACGTCGATGCCGTGGGAAGAAAGTGCTGGGTATTTCGAAAAAGGTGCGTGTGTGTGTTTATTTTGTCAGGTGTCCCCAAGGCACGAGCTGGGACTGGGAGATAGTCCAGATTTTTGCAGGGCAGGAGACATGTTTGGGGAAGGGATTACACATGGAGTGTGCATGTTATTTTCTGGAACCCTTGAATTGGCGGGCATCAGGGCATATCAGGGCTTCAAGTTGATCTCCTCAGCTGTGGATGACAAACATGTGAAGTCCACTGTTTGGAGCTTGCAGTTCCTTGAGCCTGTAGCTATCTCTGATCCAGAACCTGAAGACATGGTGAAGAGCTTGAATGTCGCTTAAGACATGGTGTTCTTTTTAAATAGACGACATAGACCATGTCACAGCGCAGCTGCTTGGGAGGAACCGAAAGCTGCCTAGCCAGGTCCGACGTGCTGCAGAAGCCGAGAGCGATTCTGCGGCGCAAGAGGAGGAGCACCCAACGAACGGTGCCACGTGCGGCGGTTCGGCGGTGCCACGTTGTGACTGTGGGGCGGTAAGAAGCTGGATTTGGGCGTCAGAAACGAAGGAATCCAGGAGAAGAAGATGATGTTGTGGTCAGATTTTTGGCGTGGTCACTGCAGGCTAGCGGCGTCTAGCGGAGTACGTTCACAACCTGCAGTATGTAAATCTCAATCAAAGCTGACGAGAAAATCCGTGATCAGATCGAAGGCCTTCAAACGTGGCCTTTTTTTCTCGAGGAATTGGACGATTCCGAGGAGGCGCACGCGGAGCACTCCCGGGTGGTTCAGGCGGGTTGCACGCCGCACGACGTGATGTGTGTCTCGTTTTCGGAGCTGATTCAATCGCGTGAAGAAGACAGTCATCTAGGGGGGCACTCCCCCTAACGTCGATTCCGTGGGTTGTGCGCTTGGATCGTTGCTGCGATGATGCTTGGATCATGTTGTTTGGTGCTTGATCTTCGCAAGCTCTCTTTCATATTGAAAGATAGGACGAGCCTCGGGTGTGTGCTGATGTGTTTTCCGACCCACCAGTTGACCTCTTCATGTTTCCACATGCGTTTTCCCTGAAGATGAGTGACCGGCGGCCGCGACTCGTTTCGCCGTGTGAAAACAGCGACAGACGCCGACGCCGACGGCGAAAGCGACGCTGCATGGAACGCATCGCTGCACGAGGCCTACAGAGATGTCCAGCCTCCCTGGCGAGATTCAGAGACGGAACGCGGCTCGCGCGAGAGAGGGCTCCTGGCGTAAGTAGGGCATGAGTGTCGGCATGTGGTGGCTGAAGAAGCCACAAAGTGTTCACTTGTTATCTCTTGCTTCTACCCCGGGTGCCATTGTCATGTAAAGAACGTCTACTGAGGTTGCTGACAGGCCAAGAAATCCATTTGGACCAGATAGTTTTGCGGACCCTCCCCATTTGCTTCTCATGTTTCCAGAGATTCCTCGGTGTTTGCGGGGAAGGTCCACTGCCTAAGTTGAAGTGAACCACTCGGTGTGTTGGGTCGTACCAAGTTACCTTCTTCTCCCCCGGGATATTCACCGCAAAGACCGGTCATCCTGTCCATGTGGACTGTTGATAGGCAGAGATTGTTTTTTTGTCGTTGGAAGATCCAGGTATGTCAAATACCTCGGATCTGAAGAGGTTTTATACATAGTTTTTACAATCCAATTGGGTAAACTCTTCACATCAGTCCCCCTGTCTCCTCTTGGTCGTGAACCTCGTGACCTCCGAGTTGGCCCCAACAGCTCCAGCAGTTCGGGGACGGCCTTCGCCGCCCTTCGCGGACCGTCACTGCCGGGCCGCCAAGACGGCATCGAACGGTTCGGCCAGGTTCATGTTGAAGGACTTGGGCCGCATCGAACAGCTGGCGCTCAAGACAGCTCAGGAGCGAACAGGACGACGAGCGTCGGTTGGCTGCAGCCGGCGTAGCCGGCGCAGTGCTGTTCTCGGTTGGCCCAAACAGGGCCGTGAGATGCAGTGAGGACTTCACAAACTCACGATCATGCCCCATGGTACCATCTGTTTGTATTGGTCTAAAGTTTAGATATACTCAAACAGTATATAAGTTTGGCTAGTAGTTTGGAGTTCACAAAAACATTATGGAGTTCTCAGCCGCCCCAGAGAATCAATCTACATCTCTACTAGGGAATCGCCGCCCGCCCTCGGCCGTGAGGATTTGGACGTGAACCCCAACACCTTGGGATTGGTTGGCACAAGCAATCATCCGGGTGAGGGCCTGAGGGTGACGATGGTGACAGGCGTGTTGACACTTCCGTGGGTCATTGGAGGGGCCTCGTGCCCTTCAAACGCAGGAATCTGCTTGGATGTTTGCAGCGCTTACGACGCTGTAACATGATTCACATGATCTTTTACTTTGCAATAAAATGAAAAAGTGAAGTGACACTCCCAGATTCAAACAGGTTCTGCAGAACTAAGTGTAAGCCCGCAGACCTCGACCGCGAGATGCCCCTCCACGTCTTCGCCATGGCTCTCGTCACCGGCTCTGCCACCCACCCCATTGACTCCGGAAGGGAACCTAATAACGATGCCAGTTTCGCCCCGTTCGTAGCTTCTTGCTCCTAGTAGCGATGCCAGTTTCGCCCCGTTCGTAGCGGAACCGAACCCAAAGCGGCGACCATGGACACAGGAATCGACCAGCCTTCCGTGAGTCCGTCGAGAAGCAGCGCCGTTCGTGCGCTGTTCGACGTGGAGAGTGCGAGTGCGGCATGAGCTTTGGACGAAAGACGAGGTGCGTAAGTTCTGCGCGCGATACTGCTCCCGGAGTGACAAGAGGCACAGATTACGAATACATTCCCTGTAGAGCACAGAGACGCGGTGTGTGTAAAGCTCATTGTGTTACAACGAGCAAGAAGAGTATTGGGGTGGCCCAAGTCGTACGACTCATTATGCAGAGAAGCAAGCAGCAGAACCCTTCCTTTCTGACGAACATGTGATTGATTCTGCAAGATTACTGTCTCCGCCCATTGATACGATCCGTCGCTTCATTTGGTACAGGGTCATACGGTCATACCCGAAATGAAAGAAGTCAATGACAAGGACAAAAAGGCTTTGTCTGCAGACCTTATTCAAGAGTTCATGAGTAAATGCTATAACTGGTACAAGGAAGAGTGCCGAGTTATGCCTTTACGGATGGAAAGGCATGAAAAAAAAAGTAAAGCCGAATGAAGGCGGCTGCCTTGAAGCGGCGTGGCCGGTCCCACATTTTGTGTCACATGTTCCTGTGTCGCGGAAGCATCCAGGAACCGTGCAGGGGGAACTAAGCGTAGAGAGCGTGACAAGTTGAAGTGACCCCCACTCGCTGGGGCGTCAAAAGCGCTGGCAGTGTGCCATCCGCGGAGTGGTTTTCAAGCTTCCCGTGTTTTGTGGCTATAAAGCCAGATGTAAAGCCCCAAAACGATTCCAGAATGGATTGAGTTGGCTGATGAACCAAGAAAAATGTGCCTCCCAATTCAATGTTGATAAAACTTTAAAAGGAACAACGGATTCAAACTGAGACGGCTGAAGACGATCTCTGCTTCTGCAGAAACCATGGTGGGGTCCAAAGTGGTGAAACCTGCACTGAATGCAGCCGAAATGGATTTGTATACTCGTTTCGAAAGTACTTACGGATCCGACAGATGAGGCACCTTCATGTGTGGCACGTTTGCTTCCACCAGCACCTGAGGCCCAGGTGCAAGTATTTATAGTTGATACATATCCTATTACTATGCCTGCCATTATCCAATTCTATCCATTTCTATACAGCTATTGCTTTACCATGTTGTATATCCCTTACTTCCCCTACTTCCTCTTTCCCCCAACATGCACCGTTCACTCATTCTTTGCATAGCATAACACCTCACAAAACAACCGTCTTTGACGTGTCTGTGTGGGTCTTCTGCACCCCTTCGGTTGCGCATCCCGCTCGGCCCAGGTGTGGCGGCACCCGCTGGCAGTGTGCCTCCCAAGCTGAAGCGCTCGGCCCGGGGACCGCAGTCGACCGCGTGAAGCGTCGAGATCGCGAAGCGCGATGAGAAACGGCCATGAAGTGGGGTTTGGTGTTTGCGATCGTGTTTTGTTTCAAAAGAAGCAAGTACACAAAAAAGATGCATGATGACCTTGATCCGTCTTTTTGGAGTCAGTCCGCACATCGAGGCTTTACGAAGACAGGTTGGTCACATCACGTTTTTTCACCGGCGGAACGTGGCCCCACGCGGTCCGTCGTTCTTCCGTGGAGACGAGGTCTCGGAAGATTCCATTGGAGACGAGGCGCGTTCGACCGGGACCGGTTGGAGCCAAGAGGTGGCAGCTTTGATTAAAAGACCGCATCAGATCTGTCATGTCATTTTCTATAGAGATTCTATCATATTTGGAGATTCACAGCGGTTTGTCAATTCTATCATCCTATATATATCATCAGATTTTGGGACAGTTCTATCTCATTCAATCCATTTATTGTGATTCTAGCTGGTATCCTTTTTTTTGCTTTGCCATGCTTTGCCCAAGCGGAACCTGCGATACCTTCTCGCATGCACTCCACCTGCCCTCTCCTATATCTACCTCTAGAAAACGAAACCCCTTACCGGCCCGGACCAGCGCAGGCCTCGATGGAGAAGCGCGACCCCCGCGACATCGAGTTCGGCGCCCGGAGACCGGTGGAAACGACCGGGTCCGGCATGGCTGGTACGGAGCCCACGGAGCTTGAAGTGGGGAAGCAAAAGAGCCCACGGTCGCATGGCAAAAAGAAGGATGTGTGGACTTGGCATCACCTTTCTTCAGGTGCAGCTCGAAGTAGGTATGTCTTCAAACCATACTTCCGATAGCCATGCGGCATGCCTCACCACACAAATCCCAGCGCGTTGCAGAGATCTGGAGTTCGCTTGTTGGCGCACGATCCGAGGCGATGACGATCGCGAAGACGTTTCACCGGATGCCGTTTCACCGCCTCAAAGGATGGAGCGGCACACGTTAGTTGGCTGAAGGCTTCACAAGACACACGTGTCGACACACGTGTCGACACATGACACCCCAGGGCCAAGGGAGAATGGAACCTAGGATACTATAGGATACTATAGGATACTATATACATACCATAGGATACTATAGGAGTATTGGATGGGGGGCAAAACCGGGTGTTTGACCCGCACCCAATGGTGGAATCTCAAAGCGCTGAGAACCTTTCCAGTCTTGAGAAGCTTCAAAGCGCTGGATGCGGAGAAAGCAGAGCGGAAAAAAGACGTCACTACACCCGTGACCGCAGTTGGTGTAAGATCGAGCAGCAGGATGCCACAGAATCTACACATGGGGGGGTCCTTGAGCTGTTATTGAGAAGTCCAGATAAAGAGTCTCAAAACAACAATCCAAGAATCGCGTGATCCAATTCTTCTTTTGTTCTCACGAAAAGATCTAAGACCACGAAGGTTTCCATCGTTCGGGTTATGTTGTGCACTTGTCAACTTCATTTGGATTTGGGCAAGAACTAGAGAGGGTGAACTATAGACAGGTCAACCAACTGCATCGACTGCCGGTCCGCTGCGAACACCACTCTGCGCTGCGAAATACCCAGCCTTGGGCTCAGTCAGCAAGTTAGATGGAGGGGGGAAGAAAACGGCCAAAATCCATCAAAATCCCACCGTTCGAGCTGATTTTTTTGGGTAGAGTACAACAGAAAACCAAAAAACAACTAGATATTATAGACCCCCTCATGGAGAGAAAGTTTGATTCCCACCAAAAATGTATTGGAAACCATTTCTATCTACTTGGGGACCACAAAAAAGAAGTCCAGTGACTTCATGTCGACCGTATATATGTCAGAGACTTCAATCACTTGCGCAGCACTTTGCGGGATCCCTGAATCCCGGGGTCCTGTCCGTCACACGGGGGTCGACTGGGGTAGAACGCCACGTCCCTGAGAACCATGTTGGAAGAGAACAGACTCAGACTCAAAACTCGAAGCACCGTGCAGCCCCATGAGCCATGATCAACTTAAGCTTCCGCTCAGCTTCCGGCGCTTGCAGCAACTGGCGGCGCTTTTGGGCGGGTCCGCGGTGCTGCTGCTTTTGATCCAATCTCAATATGATTGGGATGATGTCCAGATAGATCTGAAGCCCTGTGTGGCCTTGGCGCAATTCTTTAGTGTTCTTTTTACCAACTTTCAGGGAAGTGGTGAACCTGCAAACCTTTTCGCGTGGGGGTGGACGAGCCTCTCACCCAAAAAATGGAACGGAGCAGTGAGAGCACCTCTCCATTTCTTCACCGAAACTCAACCCCCTTCCAGGCTTTTTCCGAACCTAGTCCAGGATTCACCCAGTATCATGACATGCTTTGCCAAGTGTCCATTGGACCCGATCGAAATGGGTCCTTTTTTTTTCGATGCGACGCCGACGGTGTTTGACGCGTCGGGTCCCGCGGGGGAGGGTCCTCGAGTCTCGAGTCTCGAATCCGTCTCCTCCAGGCCACTGCCGCCTTTGCAGATGTCAGTGTCTACTTGGGTGCTTCTGTGAGGGATCGATCCAGCCAGACGCTCTACGGCACCTTCCACGAACACGCCACCAGCGTGCTCGCCAGGCGCGACGACGGAAGGAAGGAAGAACGTGGAGCGCGGCGCGCAAGCGAGGGGTGGATGAGAGGCGAGGATGGAGCTGCGCATATACCTGGACCATCCAGTCGGGGCTTCCAGACAGGGCACCCTAACAGGATGGTCCAGGTATGAGTGTGTAGTTGATTGTAGTTGAATAGGGAGACCTCCCGGCCCAATTGGTTTGCTTTCCTTCCAGAGGGTCGGACTGGGAGGTCTCCCTATTTTAATACACACAGTGAAGCAGACAGAGTGAGAGGGCGAGCGAGCGAGCCAGAGAGGGAAGGGGGAAAGGTATTTGGAACACTGACTGACTTGGTCAGGCTTTCTTTCGTTGGAACCTTTTGGGGCGCGTGGTATAATTCCAGTACATACTGGGATCTCCCCTGGCACGATATCTTCAGGTTCGTTTTGGGGTTCTTTGGCTCTCTTGACATCCAGGGCAGATGAAAAATACGTTCTTGGTGCACCTGCAGCGTTTCTCACAACCCAACTCGCAGGACGGTTGGGGGGGGGGGCCGATCGGAAGATCAGCAGGGAATCTTCGCACCAGTGACGACCTGGGTCTTGCCGTGATGCACAGACCAGAGGATCCCTTGTTATAACTAGTAGCTTCTTGTTACGTTCGTAGCGATGCCAGGGTCGCCCCGTTCGTGGCGTCTTTTTGAGGGGGGACGGGGTTGAGACTTGGTCGGACTTGCCCGGGTTGGTTGCTGCCCTTTGCAGCGGGCCCACTCAGGTCGGTTCGCGATGTCTTCCATGTCCAGACGATCCTGAACGGCAGGTTTCTCTATCCCACCCAGGAGGGTCGAGGCCATTTCTCCACGGTGGCCTCTTGGTGGGAAGCTGCCAACAACTCCAGCAACTTGGCACAGACATGATGTGCTGCAGGGGAAAAGAAAGACAGATGAATGCATGCATCCGGTGGTCTGAAGTCCACCTCTTCTGGTAAAGAGCTGTTGACTTCTGTTGACATATTGTTGGCTTCATTGGTGCCACCCTGTGGAAAATTGGAAGACCCGATCTGCAGGGATCTTTGTGGTCCAGTCCAGTCCGAAGCAAGTGGTCATGATCCACTTTGACTTTGTAGGCTCTTTAAAGAATATGGGGTGCAACTGGGTCGAATGACCTGACGATGTCCGCAGGGAAAGGCCTCCCCCCTCACGAATCCAGATCTCGACTGACGACTGAACCGACTGAACCGCGTTACCGCCTTACCGCCCCCCCCCCCCCCCGCTCGTCTGGCCCGGTCCGCAACCGGTCTCTCAGGGTACTATTGGCCGCCACGTGGCACGGGAGACTTGGCCTCCTGTGATTATTCGCCCAACGGAACCGTGGTGCCTCAGCCAACGTCGGTCCGACGGACGTGGACGGAGTCGAGAGAGAGGGCCGCCAATGGCCGTCGAGCGCGGAGGGGCACACGCACGGAGACGGCTGTGAAGGGGGAGAAGTTGGTATGGTTTTACCTGTGAGTTTTGCACACTGGCGGTATTGGTCATGTTTGTTGGGTGTGTACACCACATGCACCGTGGCAGGTGGCTCGTCTTTGGTGAGTCTTGGAGGTTAAAGAATGTAGGTCAAGACGCAGAAGTGGATCCACCACAGCGCAGATCTTGCTTCTTATGAAAAGGAAAAAGCACCATGTCTCAAAGAAAAGCGAGCGTCTGCGCCCATGTCCCAAGGTGGTCTTCCGCGGTTTTTCCTTCCTGTCCTTCCAGTACGGCCATGTCTTGCATGATTTGCTGCCGGTCTTGGTGTGGATGGCTGCCTCGTTTCCACAAGGCAAGTTGGCAGTGGAGCTGGACGACAAGAAGAAGATCAAAGCGTTCTTGAGATGGTTTGATCCAGACCTCAAAAGGACAGAAATGGGCTTTGGGGGGGACAGGGACGGCTCGGCTGGGATGAAAGCCTGGTGTTTGGATGCTTTTGAACTGATTGTTGCACAGGAACGGCTTTGTGGAATTGACAGAGGTTCTGAACGCAGGAGGTTTCAACAGGAGAATGAGAAGCATGGACCTAGAATGGATCTTCCAACTATGCCCAAGTTATGCCTTTGGGATCCTTTTGGCTGATTTTTATGGATGAAAAGGCATAAATTTGTCATGTCGTTGGAAGATCCAGGTATATCAGACAAAGTTGAAGCTCCCAGAAGCGCCCAAAGTCAGTGTTTGAGAGCAGTCCTTCCTGAAGGGGGCAGCGTGAACGTTCACAAACATTTTGGGGCTGGTTGGAAAACGGTGATTAAAAAATCTACATGCAAACGAGGCGGACGTGACCTCATTTTGAGACACATGTTTTTTGTTTTTCGGCCAGAGAGGAGTACATGTTATAGTAACTGAAAAGTCCTGTGGGTTTGCCGAGGGTAAGTTGTTCCTACCAATACCCTCTATCCACCTGAGTGTTCTCCAGGCGAGCCTTTTTCATTGAACCGGAGAAGGTGGTTTGTGCGACCACCTTGCTAGCGGTGGTGCCTAACAGCTGTTGCTCTTCGCCGCAGTATCTGCGCATTCCACAGCTCTTCAACCACTTGAAGCTCGGATTCGGAGGTCCATGGAGGTCCTAGAAGGTCCTGTATAGTCAATGACTGCAACACGGATGTTCACAAGCTGATATTGTAAAACATTGCTACTGGTAGCTTCTTGTTACTAGTAGAAATGCCAGGAGCTACTAGTAGCTGCGATGCCCTTTGTTCCTAGTAGCTTCGTTACTAATACAAAAAATATGCTTACAGTCGTTCAAAGGCACATGATCGCAGCAGGTGATCCGAGGAAGGTGATCCGACACATGGCCTCCCACCAGGAAAGCATCCTTTATTTCAAATCCCAGAGTTTATGCTATCTCTAGTGGGTGTATGGTGTACGTGTTCCAGTGTTTGTTCATCTCTTTATCCCCCTTTTTCACCCCTTTTCCGAGCCCTGCGGGGAAGGAAGCAGCCGAGGAAGCAGCGCATTTCACGGACCCACGTCTGGAACGAGGCCACACAGGTCGTGTATGAGATCCGACTGCCTAATACAGCGGAGCATGGCCGCTTGTTGAGTTCAGCGCATTCTGAAGAGGTTCTGCAGCTGGCGAAGAAGATGCTGAGATACTACAGCTTGCCAGATGATGTGATCGAATTCGATGGCACATCTCGTGGTGCAACGGCCAGTTTTCAAGAGCAATTCCGGATCTTTAACTCAGCTTATTTGGTCTTCGGTCCGCATGGCACGGGTTTTTCCAACATCATCTGGATGCGTTGCGACCAGCCCGTGGCTGTGATCGAGTTCGTGTGCGGCGCACACTCGCGGAACGTGCGCGGCTGCCTTCGAAGCGGTGCCGGCTTCGCCACCTATTGGACGTTGCTCGGGGGAGCGCAGTGGGTCACCTGGGCACTCGAATTTAGCCAGACAGATGTTATCGAGGTGTGCGTTTGTTTTTGTACATAGTCTTCAAGATATGTTGTTTAGATATGTGTTAATCTTGAGGTGTTTTTTGCTGTTTACGTTGATTGAACATGTTTTTAAAGAGTTTTGAATTACTTGAATGTGTTTTGAATGTTGCTTTGTTGGAGGTTTGTTGGTTTTAAGAGGCCACCGAGGCTAACTAGCCATGCTCCACATGAAGATCTCCATGGCTCCTGAAACTCACCAGACCATCGCATAAACGTGCAGAAAAACAAATAGAAAACAGTTCTTGGCACAAAAAACATCGATCTAGTTGAAAAGAACGTCACGTCTGACATGTCTTTTTCTTTTCGAACGGGGCTGTTTTTCTCAGACGTGTCCCATGGACCGCCCAGGTACGCTATTTCCATGTCTTTGTGCAAGATACATCGACCGAGGTGAACGACTTCATGGAAGTCGATCTCCTGGGTTTCTCGATGGCCTTAAGGGCTGCGTTGACGAACATCACGGTCGAACGACAGACGCTGAAGAAAACGACCGAGACAGAACGCTTGGAACCCTGAGCAGTGTAGTACTGGTAAGTATGTGTAAAAGTTTCATCCCGGGCAAGTGATAGGGCTTTAATGTCTTTCCTCTCGTAGTGTGGAATGTCACAACTAGACGTAGCCTCTTCAGAGCAAGCTGCAACTCTGTAGGTCAAAAGGTGTAGAAGTTCGGGCCATATGCTTGAGGCTGAAGTTTGGCATTGGCATCAGGCACTCCTCCAAAGACATCTCCTAAGCCTCGTTAGATGTCCAAATGCCCCAAAAAGATGCTGAGATTCTGCCCCGCCAGGCTGCAGTGAATGGAGGCAACGACCATGCCATTTCATGACAGCGGATCTGAGTTTAGGGGTGCATCCACTCAAACATTGTAGACCATGGCCTCAGACCACTCCATGTCATGGTGAGGCATGCTACATGACATGGCTCTGCTGGCAGTCTTCCATGTACTGTCCTTTTTATATCACTTGGCAGTGCATCCTTGCAGATCATAGATAAGCAACAAGAAATCCATAGAAATCCTCAAGATCAGCAGCCTTTGGCCGCTTTTGATCGATCCCTCAGCCTTATGGGAAGAATGTGTGCCATGGCCTCTGCCACAGCCATGGCTACAGCTGGCTACAGCTCGGTCTCTTGGATGGCATGTTTCCGCCGATGTCCAACGGGGTACACCATTTGAGAGCAACTCACCGGATGGGGCTCCCTTCTTTACCGGTGGGGTCAAATGGTCCACGTTTGACGTCCCTTGTGTTCCAACGGTGCAGCGAAACTCGCCCATCATTCGCCTCACATTGCACTATTGCACGGCCACACAGCCGCACACAGCTTCACTGAAAAGATGAACCAAAACACGTCCAGATTGGTTGGCTTCCTTGCTGTTTTCTCTTCATCTCAGGCAGTGCAGACGTCTATGATTTATGATCGTGTATTGGTGAAACACCTTCAAACCGAGAAACACCTGTCGAAAACGCCTTCTTCTTCACACCGAGACCTCCATTGGTTTTCAGAGACCTCCGTCCACACTCGTCCGCAGCTCACAGTCGTCCGCAGCTCAGTGGTCGTCCGCAGCTCTCGTCTGACGGAGTCGGCGCTCCAAAGCGCTCCGCTCCGCTCCGTCCCGACCGACGAGTCTGGAGTGGGCGATGGCTCAAAGCCGCAGGTCACGGTTGGGCACGGAAGGTCGGATGTCCGCCTCGCACGGAAGGTGCGATGGCTCAAACGGGGGGGCCGAGGGACCGCCCGCGAGGTCGACCCACCTCCTCGGTGCTCCGAGCAGGATGGAGGCCATGGCGATAGAAGTTGGAGCATCCAGAGGGTGAGATATGGTGGGATTATATTAGCAGTAGAATGATGATCGCCCAATAAACCTTTGGAAGGAACTTGACCTGCTGAGATTGATGCTGGGGGAATGACAGAAATGATCTCCGGATATCATGTCCCACCCAGGAAATGTGGATATATAACTTTTATAGAAAGTGTTGGGGGGCATTGGGAAAACCCCACTGAGCAAGAAGGCCCTTATGTCGTAGGGATCTACGGCTCGAAAGTGAGATGCGGGTCGTTCTGATGATCTCCATTTCTGATTTGCCCAGATGCCATCTGCCACGGTTCACCTCTCCCACTTACTGGGTCCAAAAACCAGTGGGCCATTGATTTCCCAACTCTTGCAAGTCGTGCATTGATTGATCCTGGGATGCCCATGATGTAAGCAGAATGGGCCAATGGTCACCGTAGCCGCCGTAATTAGCCATTACTTCTGGTGATTTCAGGTACCTGAACTCCCAGGAACGGAGAGAGGGCGAAGAAAGGACTGCAGCAACGAAAAAGGCCCGAACAGATCGAGAACAACTAAGGAGCAAAACGGAAAAAGAACACAAACACCGAAGGGGACATGCGATCGGACGCCACGATGAAGGGGGCGACCCTGGCATCGTCGCGACTCGAACGGAGCGATCGGACGGCTACGAACGGGGCGACCCTGGCCTTACTAGTAGCATGGACGCTACGAACGGGACGAAACCAGGAACGGTTGGAGATTTCCCCCAAATCCATTGATGGAGGTTCGGCTCCCAGATCTTCTGACTCATCACCGCCTTTGCACGTGATGCCGGGAAGCCTGGGCGGTTGGGGATGGGGTTCCGCCTTTCCAGGGACAGTGGGATGTGCCATGTAAGATTATAGCTGTATATAGAATGATTCAGATGTTCAAGGCGTTCAAGGTCAGTCAGTGGGTAGAATGAGCTGAGCACTTGGGAAGATCACCCCTCTAAGCTTTTTGCCACTGAAATAGGCGTTCAAGGTCAGTTCGTCACGTTCATGGTGCGTTGATCGTTTTGGATTCTGAATGAGTCTTTCAGAACATTTACCTGTGAGAAGCTTCGAAGCTTCAGAACCTGTGAGATGTTTGTGAAAAACCTGAAGCCATGGCGAGAAGGGTGAATCATTCACGTCCAGGCTTTTGCACATCCACAGCAGATGCGACCATGGTGACCTGGAAAATGGAACCGACAGATAGACTCACAAATAGCCCTAGAAAGGTACTTTGCTCATGCCATACGTACCACGAAAAGCCCCGTAGGGTCTCGACCAATGGGTTTGGAAGCCTGAATCGCAGTATCTCACATGTTGCCCATCTGCCTGCACTGTGGACCAAGTCGTAGTTAGGTAGTTGTAGGTGCAACACATCATTTCCATAGACGGTGACAGGAGCTTGTGGCCTCTGTGTCCATGTTTATGCTGCCTCTCTTGTGCATTCTGAAGCTGCCAGTGCTAGGCGCACACACCGCTTCCATCGAGGTGCATGCGGCCGGTCAACTGATAAGGCGCCAAGGTGCCAAGGTCAATGATGCATCAGTTGACCGAGCGTTGAATCAAGAACTGGTCCGGTCAACTGATTCAAGTGGAAAGCTTGGTGACCAGTTATTTTCTACAGAGATCGAGTGTGACGAAAACCTGGACACAAACACCAGCAAGAACGTGGTGCTGGGTGTTGACCCCACCGTCACCAGCGAATGCGCACTACAAGGTGGAAAGAGAGGCAAAGGCTATTTGACGGATGGACATACCCGTGTGAACAGCAACAAGAACAAGAAGTATTGGATTAGTTGCGGCAATGACAACGCGCCAGCTGCCACCTTATCCTTCAACACCACCTGCGTCCGTCGCGTGAAGATCTGGTCACGTCCCGACTGCTGCGCCAGCGAGGCCGCTGGGGTGGTAGCACAGGTGTGGGACGGTGAAGCATGGCAGCAGTGTGGCGACACCTCCACGAATGTCGGGACGCAAGCGGCCTTCACCTTTCAGTGTGGCATCAAGGGCTCCAAGTTGAAGCTTTCCAGACCGGATGGTTCTGGAAAGATGTCTATCTCGGAAGTGCAGCTCTTTGCGGCTGTGCAGCCGCCATTCTGCATGCTTGGCGACATCAACAATGGCACCAACCTGGCTTTGAACCGGACTCCCTCGGTGAGTTCAGATTGCAGTCCCATCGGCTCATCCTCCAAGACGTATTTGACAGATGGAGAGATGCCTAGCAACCCCAAGAAGCTTGGATGCTGCTTAGGTGATCTCAGGTCTTTCTCGATGTTCCCTTCGGAAGAATCCATCCTTTGGGTGATAGTATGTTGTTTTTTTCCCACACTGTGCCATGTCAAAAGTAGTCAAAAGCAATCAGCTGCTTCCCAGGAAATACTGGCGCTCCTGCAAAGCGAACAACCCGTCGGCCACGGTGACCTTCGCCAGCAGCAGCTGCGTGCGCCAGGTGGAGATCTGGGCACGGGACCAAAGTGGAGGGACGCCCGCGGGCATCAAAGCGATGGTGCTCATGGGCAGCGACTGGACCCAATGTGGCAGCGATGCACCTGCCCTGGGCAAGGGCGAGAAGTACACCTTCGAGTGTAATTTGATGGGGACGAAGATCCGCTTGAAGAGGGAGTGCAACAACTGCAGGATGCATCTCAGGGAGATGAAGGTCTTTAGCAACGCAGCATGACCCATTTCTTCACGGCGCGTTGCTGTGCTGTGCTGCTGCGTTTTGCCCCCCTCAATTTGGAGGCAAAGCCAGGTTTTGGTGCTTTTCTGCCCAACTGCAGCAGTTGTTCTTGTCTTCGGTCGGTCCGGTTGGAACGCCTTGACCCCTTCAATGCGGTGGATGGCAAAGGTAAAAGCAGGCAGAGCCGGTGGGTGTGGTCCTGAAATCATGGGGTAAAAAACGGGTGAAGCCACCAAATGACCGATCTCCCCCAGTTTTTCATGACTATACCCGTTTTCGGTGCTGATCCAGGTGACAATAATGATGTCATGTCATGTGTGTGTGTGTTTTTCTCTTCAACAGTGATCATTCCGGAAGGCGTGTCTCAATCCTTCAATGAAACACCGACTCTTTTCCAGTGGAGGGGGGCCTCTTGAAGATCCCACCACCGCTCCGGGCTGAATGTACCTTGATCCTCACATCTCCGGACGAGGCTGAAGCAGATCGGAGGTGATGGGAGGGAAATGGCGTGAGCGGCACCCGAAATGGCTTGATCTGGAGTTTGATCTGGATCTCTCATCGAAGTGTTGAGAACACTCAGAACACTAGAGCGGCACGTCATGCCTTCATGCAGTTCTTTCTCCCCAAGATACCGGAAAACACGTCACACTCGTAACGGCATCAGCACGATGGGGTCTAGTTGAGCTGTACCTTGGCTTTAGAATCTCAGCTTCACTGGTGCCAGGTTGACAGCACTTCTCCGTCGAAAGCTCAAGCTCAGGCAGATTGACTCTAAGAGTCGACTTGTTGGGCTAGCTGACTGTAGATTCAAAGCTGATGCATGATTGTACGACTATCTATCCCCACCAACCTCCGGCAGACTCATGTATGTTATAGGCTTGTGCTTGAACAGCAGGAACCGATTTCACACTTATGTCCACTCTGGCGAGTTCTCAGTGCGTTTGCAGCAAACGGATTCGACTCACAGTTTCTGTTTCTTAGTTTGACAGGCACGGACTTGCGAGTCAGCGAAAACACTGGTAATTGAAGAATTGCCCTCCAGCTTGTGGACTTGCCGATTTTTGGAAGCCCTCTTTCCTACAAATCCAAGAGCCAGAGCTTCTGTGATGGGATTTGCTTGTAAAGCACATCACACTTGTTAGTGCCCTGCTTCATACGCGCCATACAGATTTGTTGACGGAGCTTACATCAGTTGCATATTACATGGAAAGATCGACGTTTCATCGAAATGAGTCGGAAATGGTCTTCTTCCGGTGTGTTCTTCCCACCCGTTTGGGTGGTGTTCGCCGCGTCCTTTCCTCCGCGTTCTTTTCGTGCGCCCCTTGCTTCACCCAGGTCTCGAACCCCAGGCACCAGGGCGCTCGAAAGCTCCTAGTAGCGTCCTTGCTCCTGTAGCGATGCCAGGACCCCCCTGGTAGCGTCCTCTACTACCCTTGCTGCCTTTTTGCCACAAAACCTTATGCACACACGCGTGTCGAGAGTTTTTGCAATCCATATCTGAGGTGGTTTATTGATCAACTGTTTGCAGTAAGTGGCTACAGTTGTGTTTCTGCGGGGCCTATGGGCTTTCCATATGCTAATCAAGTGGCCACATATATCCAAGCAAGTACTTGAGTTCGCAGGTACGGTCAAGAAGGTTGAACCCTGTCCCGGGCGTTCAAGAGCCAACATGGGTTGGTCTTGTTTTGGGCAACTGGGCCTGGTCCCTGACACCCAAGTGGAGTGGGTTAACCATTTCCAACGCCTGTTTGCTCCAGCTCTCAAATGGGCCGTGGAAGAAAATCAGTGTGCAAAAAACGTCGCGGCTGCCAGGAGCAGAGAACAGTTTCCAGAAAAGGAGTTGGACAAGACACTTGCCTGCACTCAGCTGCAGTGGATGGGGATGATCACTTGATCAATTGGCAGCCGCATGACGCATGTGACAAGATTTGAAATCCACTCGGATCCATGAGGAGTCGGAGTTCGCCTTTGCTTTGGCCAAGTCAGTCTCAGTTAAAGGTGGCAAACAGATAGGTAAGTTCAAAACGTTGAGGATGCTGGGGGTGATTTGGGGGGCTGCCGTCACCCTGGGGCTCTAGGAGAACAGAAAACACTATTTTTTTTGTCGTGTCTTTTCCAAAGCTCAAAGCAGATCCTAGCCGTTTTGGCTTGCAAAGATCGCTGGCAACCGGCTTTGCTGGTTTTCCTTGCATGCTTTCTGCAGGGCCTTGCTTGCACTGAATCCGCTCTGAGTACGGATTGCATGCCCTCCACAAGTGAGGCATGTCACTTTGCCCCCCTTTCGCCACAGCTTGTGCGAACTGTGGCCTTGCCAGCCGCCTTCAGGAAGCCATTCTACATCCCAGCAGCTCGAAACAGCCAGGCTTTCAATCTTCTCTCGTGCAGCATTGCGCAAAATACGCCCGCTGCATCTGGTACAAACCACATAGTTGGTCTGAAGCACGAACTTGTGATCTGCCATGGAAGGGTGTGTGCCATCCACAAGGCTCTTGACCAGTTCTTGTTTGGTCTGTGTGACCTCAGGCTGGCCTCCTTGCAGATTAAGCTTCATCACTGAGGGGCAGTCTTCCGCTTGAATCTTTTGCAGAGCTTCGACTGTCAAGTGCTGAGTGATGCGCTTCTGACAGCCTTGACATATGAGAGCTCTGCCTTTGCTGACCCAGAGATGTTTGGATTCAACTTGGTTGCTGCCAATGGCAAGAAACAACTGGTGCTTCTTCTCCTTGGCTTTCTGCCTGTTTTCTTTTCCGGTTTCTCTTGCTTTGTTCAAGTAGTGGTCCTTGGTTTCAAGCAAAAACTTGATCCGCTCTATGGCCTTGGCGGCGATCTTGTAGTACCGCTGGTCTATGATCCACAACTCTTCTTCTTCACGGACCGGCTTCATTGCCAAGGCCATTTCTTTGGCGGTCTTGTTTGCGTCACGAGCCCTGGCCTTAATGGTGAAAGGACCAGGAGGCATTTCCTGAATCTGCTGTTGTGTGAGGTGAAGCGGCCTGATGCGGCTTCTGTGATCATGTGTGACCAAACATTGCAAATCGTGAAAATGGTCCTTGTGTCGGGAGTGCACCCAGGCCTCCCGCGCTTTGCGTGACTGCAAGTGCACACGCACAGGGACATGCAGGTCCACATAGTGGGAGATGAGCCTGAGCCCGTAGTACCATGCACGGTCACTGCTCTGTTGTCCTGGCAGTATGGCGGTCACTGCACCCTTGCGGTAAAGTTCTCCGTCTATCATAGTGTGGTGCACCAATGCCACAACAAAGAACTTGAGGCGAGGGTCTGTGCTTGTAGGTGCGATGCCTATCGTCACCACATCTATGCCTTGAAGCTTGACTTCATCATGAATTGTCCAAGATCCCCAAGCCTGGACGGCCGCACCTCCTGTTGATACCTCATATCGAGGCTTCTGGAGGAGCCCTTGGGACCAAAACTCTCTGTTGATCCCCCGCTCGATCTCCAGCCGGTCCTCATCATCAAGCGGTGGGAAGGCCTTGTTGATCACCTTGCACGTCCAAAGAACATGAATGGCTGTGGCCTCCTGGTCGCAGTGAGGGCACATCATTCTTTTGTTCTGCTCACCATCAGCTAGTTTGGTGAAAATGGCTCCCTGGTGCCAAGTCTGCAAGGCCGTGTTCTGCACCTTGTTGCACTGTCTTGACAGCCTCCTCCAGGGGAGCCAGTCGAGTGGCTGTTGTACTTCTGTGAGGTCTGCTCTTTTTTTGATCTTGGTGACCGTCTCCCATTGTCTGGCACGCTCAAGCTCCGCTTGGATGTGGTACCAGTCTGCAAACATGTTCAGCTTGAAATCAGGCTCACCATTGTGTCCCGGCTTTGTCCACTCATCGTGCTGCTGGATGTTCCATCCCCTTTTGAAGAGGTAACATTGCAATGCTCCAACAGGGCCTTTGGCGTGCTGCCAGGGGTAGGTCACTGAGGTGAGCTTGTCTCTTTGGACTTGCCATGCTTTGGCCAAGTCACGAACCAGGTCTTCAGGCCAATTGCCATGGAATTTGCGATATGCCCGGATTTGATCTTCAAAGGCCGCAAAGTCTGGATCTTTGTGCTTGGGGTACACGTCGAAGAGGATGTCAAGGTTGCCTGTCCGTTGTAGGCCTATCTGCCTCCCCATTGTGGCGCGGAGGCGCCTCCTCACTTGGGGGGCCAGGCCCATAGCCTGGTGTCCCCAGCTGATGCCCGCGACTATGCTGCCTTTGTACAACTTGAGCTGGATGGACCTTGTAGGTATCTTCAGGGCTGCCAATTTGACCGCTTTTCTGCCTGCTTTCTTTCTGCGGGTTTTCATGGTTTGCAACCGTCTCAGGTGACCTGCAGTGCAGTCTATGCCCAAGTCCATCATCACATCATGGACTTTTGGGCCCCCTTCAGGGAGCTGTTCCTGAAGGATCTTTTTGACAGTGGCATTGGAGGCGATGAAACCAGTCTTGTGTTCTGACACTTTCAAATTGTCCTTCTCCAACTCAGACTTGATGCATTCGTATGCCTGGATGGCAATTCTTGCAGCATTGTTCGGGTTTCGGTCCACAACATCAAAGCTGAAGTCGTCAATCCAAAGGTCTGAGTGCAGCTGTGGATACTTGCGGTGGAACTCTTTCAATGCTCTCTGCAAGTAAACCTTCGCTGCCAGGGGAGCTTGAGGATCTCCCGCCAGAATGCCATTAGACGTCCAGATGGGCTGGGACGCCTCTCCTTCTGCCTCAAGGATGCGCTGGCCAGTGTACACCTGCATAGCCAATGCTGCATGTGTCGCGGGATATGTGGATTCAACCCATCGCTGAGCCAACTTTTCCAGAGAGATTCTGTCGTAAAAATTTGACAGATCCAAGAGCACCGAGATGACCGACCGTTTGTGACTGGCGTGGAATTCCGTCATAAAGGATCTTTTGAGGGCTACTTGCAAACACTCAGTTCCAGGGACTGCTCTCTCCCAGGGGTACTCATGTATGGTGCATGCCCAGCTTTTCGTGAGTTGACTTCTCAATCGGCACCAAAGCCTGTACATCGTGGCGACTAAGGCAATTGGTCTTTCGATCACATTGTTTTTTGGGAGCATAGCGATCAATGAGGTTTTCCACTGGCTGGGGATCATGGCCTGTTCCTCAATGATCTGAAAGAGCTCCCTGAGATCTTTCATTGCTTCTTTGGGCAACG